ACCATAACTTATCTCAGAAGTCCAGTGGTGCCTAAGGAAATGTGCACATCACTTGTCAAGTGTAACATTTTTGTAGGAAAATTATATGTATTGTTCCCTCAGGGTTACAAAGTGGTGAGTGTTGCTTGCTGTTGATAACATGCTTATGGGATGATTAATAATCCTGAAATGAGGGGCTTTAAGTAACCTGCTGCTGCTCAGAAAACAAAACTTGAGTTCTTTACTTACAGTTTTCTGAAAACAAAATCTCTTTTATTGTTTTCCCTTTTTATTGCAGCAAACCCAACAGCTGAGAGAGAGAAATGTGTGGGGAAAGCTGTTGCTGCACAAATGCAGAATGTCCTCAGATTTTGGGTTGTATCCTATCATAGTCCCCTGAAGGATTTGAGCATTTGCAACTAGTCCTTCAGGAGACTGGAATGTAACCTGGGAAATACATGTTTGTTCAAGGCATCTGCTGCTGGCTGATGTCAGGGACATGATCTGAAGCCAGCTGGACCTGACCCCATCTAATATGGTTATCTTCATGTTCAAATGAATATACAGTGCTTAGTTCTGGGCATGAGAACTAAGGATTGCCAGGTGAAATCGAGGTGATGTGATTCTGGTCATCACCAGGGGTTGTTGTGGAGGTCAAAAGGAAGTGCTCAGAAAGGACCAGGAAGGTTTTTCAAGGTGGGCTGTTTGCTGAGTGTGTTGGTGCAGGTGAAACCCCAGTTCAGAAGTTTGTTAAGCTAATTCTTAACTTAATGATGATTGAGGAGAAGGAAAGCATCTTGAGGAATGATCTCTTCATCAAAAGTGTTAAAAACATCTCCTTCTGGCAGTGCTTGTCAGAACTGGGGTGCTTGGCTAGCAAAACCCTATAGCATTTCTTGCAGAGTGGATGGGACAGTAATGTAACTCCTGGCTAAATAAATACTTCTTGTTTTGTTTGTTTGACTTGCTGTGTTGGGCAGGCTTGGAATTCTGCTGCTTTTTGAGCCAATACTGATAACTCTTACAGCTTTTACCTTGTTAAACATGAAGGTTGTTTACTTGTCCTCTAAAATGGGTCAGATACTAGTGTGCTAAGTGTGGTTCTCATGGTTCCCTTTCTGCCAGTGGCATTTTCTCTGCTAAATTATGGTAAAAGTGTTTAAAGTGCATCCCATAATACTCTGTTCTGGAACACAGGGGATGTTCATAATTGTGCAAAAGAGGTAGTGATTGAAAAGTGTAAGACTTTCTTGGAGGTGTGTCACTTGTGGATCACAGTGACCTCAGTTCTAGTTTTGCTGTTAAGAAGTGGCAGGGGAACACAAATACTGCTTTAAACTTGTAAAAATGCAACAGTGCTGAGCTTTAAATACCTCAGACCAAAGGGGATACTGTTTAGAGGGTGAATAATAACTTTCAAGACCTAATGCACATTGGACTGGAAATCACTGTAGTGTTCAATTTTAGATGTTGGGAAACTACATAAACAGTTCTCACCACTTTATCTTGGATTTCTTGACTCACTATTTAACTTTTTAAAGAGCATTCAGAGTTGTACATGCAGATGGGGAGTGGAGCAGGCTGTGGTCTTGAACAGAGAGGGGAGTTGAGTTACTTGAAACATGCACAAAAATGTGTTAATGGTTTATTTGAAATCTTCCTTGTAGTTCGTTCAGATGGCTTTTTATTTTTAATAGGAGTGAAACTCGGGTGTGGTGAAAGTGGGCTTGGCTCCCGTGTTTGTCACAGTGCTCTGAGTCACCCTGGGTCACTGCAGTTCTCACTCTGGAATTCTTGGCACTTCAGGGATGGGAGCCACAAGTCAGGACCAGGAAAAAGTTGGTGATATTGGGCTGTGCTTTTATCCTGCTGTGCAAGCAACTCTGTCATTAGTGCAAGTTCATTTTACTTAGTATTCTGTATCCAAAAAAATTGAAACAAGTTAATAACAGTTATTCTAAGTTATGTTCTTTGTAAGAAAGTCAGGTTCTGTGAAGAACTTCTGATGTTTTATTTCTTGGAGCTTATCCTTTTATATGGACTTTCTTCTTGTTATTTGTTTGCTGTATTTTTTTTTAGACTTCTAAATTATTGTAACTCAGGTGTGTTTTGCCTGATTTTGATGTGAGAAGGAAGATTATCCTCCTCAGTTTTTATCCTTCCTCCAATTGCTTGCTGAAGTTCTTGGTTCATTTTGCATTTTAGTGGGTTTTAGGACCTCCTCAATAAAATTAAGAGCCGATTTAGCCTCTTCAGTAGAGAAATTAGATTCAAATAAAAATATACAAAGTCTTAATACTTTACAGTTTGATGCAGAAAACTTGCTCACACTTCAAACCTTATAAGGCTGAGAAAAGGGCTTTATGTTAAACCACAGGCTGCTTAGCTGTCTTCAAGGGTGTGGAATAAGATGTGAGATTAGAGCTGTACTCCATGGGCTGAAATTTAATACTTCATGTCCTTAAAGCTGCTACAAGGCCAACAAGATACTTAATGAACTATTGCACATGGAAAAAGTGCTCCCCGTGCTCTGACCTTGCAGCTCTGAAGGGATCACGCCGGGTGCTGAGTGTCGGGAAGGGCTGGAACTCCTTATCCTTCCACCAGCAACATTTTATTCTCTTGCAGAATCACTGCAGGGTCAGGTTCTGTAGAAGAAAGTTTCTGATGTTTTTTTTTAAGCTTGAGTTTGCCTTCAAACACGACAGGATCTGATGAGCCTCAGAGGTGGGAGCACACAGGGAGGGCAGGGACGGGGAGGGATTGAGCATCACAGACTTGGCACACTCGGAGTCGTGCTGTGCAGTCTCTGGGTAAGGAAAGCCTGAGTGTGCTCAGACACAGTTTAATGTCACCCTACAAAGAAGTCTCACTTGGAGACTAGAGTAATACATTTCACCTGTGGATAGTAAGCTGAAGTATCTGTAAATGTAGTAATATAGAAAAATAAAAATCGACTGCTAAATGCAAAAGTAGGATACTTTTAATGTATTTGCCTGGCTCTTTAATGCTGCCTTTGGCAGCTGGAGAACACGAGACAGTTGTTACATGTGCTGTGACATCTTAGCAAAGGAAGGCTAAAAAATAAACAGTTCTCACTTAAAATCCAGATAACGTTCAACATGTGGGAGGAAAATCTCGTCATAGCAGAGATTCCTTGGAATTGGCAGTATTTCTTTATAATGTTTGCTAATCCGTTTTTCCATGGTGTTTGGCCTTTTTTTAAATCCCTTTCTGGGAAGTGTGGCTCCCTTTTCTGTGAGTGCTGCAATCACATCTCTGTCTGCAGCTTTTCCAGATTTTTGGGATCCATCCTCGATGCTGCTTTGCCCGCAAGCGGGACAGTGGGACTGTTTGCCTTCCTATGCAGCAGGGAGGAGGTGCAATCAGCCGTGTCCCCCACATTTTCCATAGCCCCAGAAGTGCCCTGGGATGAGTGCAGGGAGCCAGGCAGCTCTGCACTGCTCCTCCTACAACTCCCTGTCTGTGTGACCCCTGGCAGCCTCAGGAATGCTGAGCCACTGTCCCCTGGTAAAGCAGCGTTGGTTAAATTGGCACAAAAGTTTCACTTCACTCCTTTACAAGATTTGAGACCAAACTAGTTGAAAGTCTGTTTGTCTTTTTTACTGTTTATGCAGTAAATGTGCTTTCTAGGAATTGGGACCCAATTTTCTGATGGGTTTCTTGGGGAGAAGAGCACAAGACTTGCCTATAGTAGTTAATTCAAGTTTAGTAACTATCTGGAATTAAAATTATTAATTTGAATATGTTTTGCGAATACTGCACAGATGGCTGTGAGACTGTGAAGTGTTTGGGAGATGGTATTAAATTGTACTTGCTGTGGTCCCTTTTTCTGTGAGGAAACTGCTTGTCATGTGTTGGTAGCCTGTCACTGATCCCAGATGTGTGGTGAGTTACATCAGCAATGTTCCTGCCCTGTGCAGAGAGCAGACCTGTGCTGTGTCTTGGTTTAGCAGGGCATTGCCTCTAGTACAAGAAATGATCTAGAAACTGCACTTTTCTTGGCATAAATGTAGCACACTGGCATTTTCTGCTGCAACAGGAGTGAGAAATGGTGCTTTTTTACATAGTTCCGTGGCAGTTCACCTGATAATGGGAACCAAGCCAAGTGTAGTGCTTGGCTTGATGCTCCAAAATCATTCTGGAAGATATCCTGATGTTCTCTTGTGAGTTAAGTTACCTGTTGGATAGCATTAACTTCATATTTTCAAGTGACACTAACAAATAAGGTCCTCACTTTGCTTTTACAAATAATGGCATGCTCTGCCTTGGGGCATCAAATTCCTGGTTTCTAGCACAAATACATTTGGTAGTTTCATCTTTTATCCTCATTGCAGCAGCAGGTTTGTAGGGCTTGTGCTGCTTTCTGTCTTATCACTAGAAAGTTGAAAGTCACTTTGTGGGGAATTCAGGTGTTGGTTCAAAGTGTCACCGTGCTCTGACAAACGAGGTCTGTGGATCTTGTTCTGGTGCCATCCCCAGCTTGTCTGCTTGGCAGATTGGGGTTCCTCCTGAGGTGAGAGACTGATCAGGAGCAGCTGAGGTGCAAACATATGTCCTGGTTTGCTTGCTCTGATGCCAGCAGAGCTGGGAACAAATCCTTACCCCTTGTGCCATCGTCCCTGTTTAGTGACCAAGTGTCCAACTTGCTGTGGCGGAGGGAGCTGCTAAAGCTGTTGGGTGCTTGACAAAACAGCTTCAAACACAAGCAAACGTGGTGTTTGAAGTTGCAGCTGCGTGAACTTGTAGTTTCTGGTGTGTTGAATAACTTTATAATCCTCCAGGTGTGGGATAAAAGCTGTACCTGTGGATAAAGTGCTCCCCCTGTTGCAAGCTGCTTGATTTTCCAGGATAACCCTGAACTTCCCATAGGACTCCAGTGGTCATGTCAGAATATATCTACCTCTTTTTTTCTTTTTCCCAACAGAGATGGACTGAAAACACTGATGTAAAAGCAATAGGTGCCCAAACAGGAGTTAATTAGTTTCACTGTTTTACAGATGGGGTCGAGGATTCGGTCTGTTGGGTTCCATCTTTGGAAAGGACAGTGCAATAAATCAGTCAAACAGTGTTTTTGGACTCGTGTTTTATATACTACAAATGCTACTTGGTAAGTATTAATTCTGCTTAAAGCCTAAAGCATGTAGCAGGTCTGTGGTGTTGAAGGAGGAGTGCAATGCAGATTGCACAATCTGCAAGAAACCAGATAAATGCTTGTGATTTTTATATCTTTTTTTTTTCTTAGCACCAGCCTAATGATACATCTGTCCAAAGGACTTAAAAACTCAACTGATAATAAGAGTAATTGCATTTTCCTCTGCTATGCTATTAATAATATAGGGTGTCAAGACAGTTTCTGTGCTGGTATTTTCACTTCAGTATATTTAGCATCAGATTGCATGATAGAAAAGAGAGGAAATAAAAATGGAATTTACAAGTTTTGCAGGAGTAATAGGCAAAAAAGTGCATGAAATGTGTTGCATACTTGTTGGTAGCTATGTGGTCTGCTATAAAGCTGTTAATTTTGATAGAAATAACTCGATCAGCCTGTAACTTTCCCCTAACTCAGGAATACAGAGGATGGTTGATATAAACATCCTCCTTATCACAGGACTGTCAGACAGAACTTAGATGCTCCCCTCCAAAGAGTGATTTGTCTTGATTTGTCATGGTGTTTTAACCAGACTTTTCTGTAAGACAGACTTGCTGAGGAGCCCTCAGTCTGAGTTAGTGCTTAGGCTTTGTGCTGTGCGTGGAGGGGGCCGAGAGCAGCCCTAGTAACTCTCTCTCTCTTGTTGCAGGTATGACAGCAAGTGCAGTAGCAGCTCTAATCCTCATGACATCCTCCATAGTGTCTGTAGTAGGGTCATTGTACTTGGCATACATTCTGTACTTCGTGCTGAAGGAATTTTGCATTGTCTGCGTCATCACATATTTGCTGAACTTCATTCTCTTTATCATCAACTACAAACGACTAGTTTATTTGAACGAGGCCTGGAAACGGCAACTCCAACCCAAACAGGAATAACCCCTGTTTGAACTCTTGACTGACAGTCTGAAGACCCAACTTCCATTAAGTTTATTTTGCAGTAATTTTTTATTCTCCATATCAGACACTCTCCCCGAGAATCATAACTGAATTTTTAATTATAAATTTGAAGGGGCCCCCGATAATTTTTCTGTGCTAATCTTCAGTTTAAATGTGGTTGTGAAACAAAGCTCTAATACAATCAAAGACAAGCTTTAACTTTACTTTGAAGGAGTTTTAGCCACAGCAAAACCTAGACTCTCTCTTCCCCCTCCACTTGTGAAGTGGGTAACACTTGCTATAAAATATCCTGTATATAAATTCAGGTATAACAAGATGTGATCATGACATTAAATATTCTAGACTAGCATCACCATATTTAATGTTGCCATGTTTACAGTATGTGTATTACTTTTTTGTTTTCGTTTGTTTTTTTTTTTTTTAGCTGATGGACTTAGATTTGACTAGGACTTACACTGTAAATAAAATTAGAACTATTGGTTTCATCCCTGGAGAACTCACTGTACAATGGGTTTTGTTAGGAGCTGTCAGAGGGTTCAGCTCACAGTCGACTGACACGATGGAAGAAGTGACCTCTGAAGAGAACACGGAGTTGCTGCACTCACTGCTCGTGCTGTCCCAAGAATGGTGCTTGGGGTTGGTTCCATTTTTTTTTTTCCCTTCTGTCTTTCTTTTTGTCTCCAGTATCGAAAAATGGAATTAAAGCTGAAACCTGAAGTGTGTTCATTAAACCACAACCTCGTTAATTCTGTACCGAGTGAAAATAGCTCCGTGTGGTCGATGGAAAGCTGCCACCAGGATATTCTCTGCAGGTTGGGGGTTGGTGTATCCAAGTGTTCTTTGAAAGGACTCAGTTTCCATGCAGAGCTGTTTCATTTTTAAGCTGTGGTCAGCCAGCCAGTGTTACTAATGTTTGATGTTCTATGAATGCTGCAGTATAGGATTGCAATTGCAGTGGAAGCCACTGACTGAGCGGGATAACCAAGTCGTGCACTGAAAAAGCAGTTACTTAATTGATCTTCGTCAGGATCCTTGGTTTGTGCTATATTGGGAAATGAACTTTAGGCCTGACACACACACACACACAAGATCCCTTGGAAGGGCAAGCTGTTTAATGGGATAAGTGAGTAAATGTGCTCCTGAAAATGAAATGTGATGTAGTGCTATCATTGCTCTTTCTAATAACTAATTGGGAAAAAAAAAATTAAACTGCAGATTTAAAGGAACAAAATTGTACATGTTGTTTCTGCACTCAGTATTCTAAGGCTGAATGTTAAAAGTGCCTTCTGTCTTAAAATCTTAAACCAAATACTTTGCGTTGAACTTGGCAGGCAGAAGTGTCCTTGCTTTAAAAATGAACAAACAAACAAACAAAATTCCCAGCAAACTTGCTGGGGATAGAGGAGTATTAAGAGATATGTTTAGTTTTTAGACTGAGAAGTGGTAGCAGTATTGCTTCAGTTTAATTAAAAAAGGTTGATGGCGATTTGGAAAAGTAAAATATTTGTGTTTCAGACTCTGTGACACGAAAACGTGTAGGTTCAGTTCCTTTCTGTAATTGGTGCTGTGCTGCTTTTTGCCCTTGTCAGCTTCTAAATATGAAGAATTCCAACTGCATACCAGTTATTTAAAGAATTAATTTAACTATTTTTGGGATTTTTTTTCTCAAACATGAATGTCAGAGAGACACTTCTGTTGTATGGATAAGTGGATTATAAACACTAAGTTGCTGAGGATAAACTTGACTGTGAAACATGCAGTGTTACCGTAGAGCAAATAGAATTTTTAGATTGAATCCACAAAATAGTATTTAAATTACTACTGAAGTCGTTTTCTGGTTTGTATCAAGGATGTAGGTGGAAACTGCTTTTATGTATAGAGTTCTGTGGTATTAGTAACATCTGTTGCATGTAACACTAAATAACTTGTCCCTCTTGTCTGACAGTTTTAGACAACAATTCATTAAATGCATTTTGTATTGACCAGAGTATAGTTAAAGCTTGTCTTGATGTTTAGTTCTGTCTCTCAAATGCCTTGAACTTTGATATGAGGGGAATGAATGATGTTAAACTGGTCCCTCAAGGCTTGGCTTTGTTCTCTCACAAGCCTTGAGGCAGTATCACTGTTTAATATGTGGTATAGATTTATTTTGATGCATTCCTGTGATCTACACTAAGGCATCTTTTTTTTCATCCAAGGAAGAGGTGAACACGTGCTGCCTGAAATGGTCAGTGGCAGTGCTCATATCTCAGAACAAGCAGCCATGGAGACAAGTATAATCAATGAGTACTTGGTCCAATTTCTGGGGAAAAAAAAAAAGGAAAAAAAGCCCCATCAGCTGAAAGTATTGGTGTTGACTTAACTTCACTGTGTCTTGTGCTTGTTTGTGTGGGCATAGTCTGTTAATTCAGTTTGTTTAGTAAAAATGTTTAGGGCCGGATTTCCAGCAGTCGTGTCTGCAGTCCTTGTTTGTGTGCACATAGGGATCAAATGGAACTGGAGTTTGGTCTCTGGAAGAATTTGCAGCTACACTTTTGTGCACAGACTTGCAAATCTGATCCTTAATTGTGAACTCTTTTGTCTTGTGTGCTTTTCTTGCAGTTACTTTTTACTGGAAGTGATTTGCTAGAAACGGCCCTGACTCTTCTATTTCTCTCTCGTGCTTCAGAAATGCAGTTGGCCTGAATAAAGGGCAAAATAATCTTAGCAGTAGAAATTTGGACCTCTTTGCTTCCAGTTCTTTGACTCTCTTGTTGCTCCCAGTGATAGAAACAGCATCTTTCTTCCAGTAAAATGGCACAGATTGTGATGTGATGGAACTCAGAGGAGTGCCCCCTTGCCTGCCCCAGCCAAAACAAACGTGGTGGGAAACTTGTGGTTGATTCCGATTCCACCCTCCCAAACCCAAAAGCAAATTCTGAGGAATCTTGAGGATACAGGAAAACACAGGTAAATAATACCTGGGCTGGCAAGGGACAGGGGGATGTTACACAGATCCTCGTTGTGGTTTCAACACTCATGAGAATGGAGGGAAAAAATTCACAATATCCAAACAGTGATTCTGAATTTGGGTCCTTCCTCCCCCTCTTTGGCTCTCAGAGTCACCAAATATTCTCAGTTGGAAGTTCCTCGGCGAGGGGCGGCTTGGAAAGGCAAAAGAACCTCATCCCAAAACCTGCTTAGGAATTAAACATTCCTGAAATCCTCTTACTGTAAGGTACTTGCTACTCTTAAAGGCCAACAAAGCATTCAAGTCTCGTTGAGGAAATGAGTGTTCTTGGAAGTTTGTCGGTGTAAAGTGTTCATGATGCTGAGGCCAGTGAAACATTCCCGACCACCTTTGATGCCTCAAGTGGCAACAGATCTCTTGTGAGGAGGTTTCTGCATTCTGTAGTGTTTGTTTGCTGCTGTACAGAGTCTCTCAATTGTTCCAGGAGGTTGGTGAGGTGCTTCAGGCAGCATTTGATGCTCCTAATTTATATGGGCTGAAGTCAGAGATTGAATGGCTTTGATTCTGCCAATGTTGTTTAAACGTGAACTAGACAAAACTGTTCCAGAAAAGATGAAGTATTCTGTTACCATAAAACTGTATTAAGCATGGCCTAAATATTAGGTGTTTGTTCTGTGTAGTATGTTCCATCAACTATTTATTCCTAGTGCTTTAAACTCCAAATTGAACACCCATTGAAATGGAGTCATTGGGCAGATGTTCCTTTCATCGATACAGGCTGAGAGATTCTATATCAGAGGTTTAGGATACAATTTTGCTAACAGGTAAAACAATGTAAATATGTACGAATTCTATTTGTTGCACATAACTTTTTTGGTATAAAAAAAAAAAATAATAAATGTAGAAATTACCTGTGGACGTCTTGCTGCAATCATTCTTATGCTGCATTCATGCAGTCCAAACATAAGAGCTTGAATGAACCCAATCAGAGGCCTTTTTGGACTCAGTCTGAGCCTTAGAAACTGTTTTTAACGTCAGTACTGTAATTCTGTTTCTAGAAATGTACTAAGTTGTGGGGGTTTTTTTCAAAGACATTGTGTGTGTTAGGAGTAGTTTAAAGCACTTGATTCCCCACAGATCCCAGTTTATAGAATTCCTGCAGCTTCATCACATTGTGTGCACTGGGTGTGTAGAGGCTGAGCAGCGTTGACTTGAGGCTTTAATTGTTTACAGTTCTTTAAGCAACCCGAAAAACAAAACCTAACATTCAGTGTGTGATCTTTATCACTTCCTGCTTTATTGGTTCTGTGGGTCTGCTTGAACTCAATCCCACAAGATCACAAAGGATCTGGAAAATGCTGTGTGTGTTCCTGGATTTGGGGGGCTGAGGGTTGGGTAGGAGGGCTTGGGTTTATGATTGCACAGAGCTGGTCAGAACAAGCAGGAACTGAGCCAAAATGTGTGCTTTTCATACATTAAACTCTGCATCTGTTGTGTTGGTCTGAATGAAGTTAAAATTTCCTCTTCTGCAGCTGCCAGCCCCGTGTTACCACAGGGATCTGAGCCCTGGTTTGTAATGGGTGAACAGTGTTTTGGTATGTCCTGTCTGGTGAAACGGGGAAGAAAATGATTTTCTTCTTTAAATAATGATGTCTGGAGATGGAGAAGTTGAGATGACTTTCAAACACTGGTAGTGGGCTTAAATATGGTAATTGTTTCTACCATGGTACGTTTGAACAAGTGTCTTTTTACTGTGCATAGACTTTTATATTCTGGGGCTTTAGTTATATAGAAGATCTAGACCTAACATGGTGTGAGGAATGTCAATAGTGTGTTGTTTCTTTTCCCTTAAAAACTTCGTAATTGTTTTGAAGTCTGCAGCAAACATCTGTGCCCTCATTCTGCCTGTGGCAGGGTGGAAGGTGGGGTTGATTCCTAATGTACCACCTCTAAAGGAAAGAGAATTTGGCCACCACAAAACATAAGAGCAAATATTTTCTTTATATTGTCAGATTTTGGTCACTTCCTGAGCCACTAACACAGGAAAGCGTTGGAAAAGGGAGTCATAGCAACAGTTTCACACGGAATCTGTGAATCATTAAAACTACCTAATTGTACCAACTTCCTAAATTCACTGGGCAGCCTCCAGTTTTGTCATTCTGCTCCCTGTGATGCTGCTCTTGGGACAACCCTGGGATGTTGCTGTAAGATGTGTGCAGACCAAGTGTTCTGAGCTCCTCTGTGAGCGTTGCTGTGATCTGTGACAGTCTAGAGCCAGGCCTTTAGAGTCCCCCAAGACTGGTGTGCAGCCCCAAAGGGACGTTATTACATCATTGTGCTGTCTGAGGCAGCACGTTAATTTACACATGGCCCTACCCCAGACTACTTCAGGCCACTACCAGAAAGGTTTAGAACAAACTTGCCCTCTTAGACTGCTGTTGCTGTAGTCCATGGTGACAGTTTAATATGAAGGAAGCCCTTCCGTGCTGGAAGGTAAAACTGCATCGAATAGTGACAGTTTTGGTACTGTGAGTAAAATAAATAGTTTTATTAAAGTTCAGTTGATGTAGTACCTGCCTATCTAACATATTCCACCTTGCTGCTGTAGTATGAATTCCATACTGTGTTGGGAGTATGTTGGGTGTCCTCATAGTGGTTCTGAATGCTGTGAATGCTCAGGAGTTCTCACACACACGTCCTGTCAGGCAGGAGAAGCTGCATAAACTCTGCTCCTCTGTGGACAATTTGCTGTGATCTGAGTAGTGTAACTGTTAGGGGAGTATAACTGGAAAACCTCATTTGCATTAGGGGGATGTGATGTTCACTTACAGTAACTTAGATTTATTTTTTTTTTAAGTCTTCAGCATTGATTTGTGTCATGTAATATTTGTGTTGGGGTTTTTTGCCATAAACAGATACCTCAGTCAGGATCTCTAACTTCAGCTCCTTGAAACTCTGAATATTTGTTTTACTCTCTGGAAACAGGAAGCCTCCAGACATGGCTAAGCAGAGGAAACCAGTGTTTCTGATCTGCTTCACATCATAGTAACTCCTTCAGGTGGACTAGAAATCGCATTAGACTTGCAAGACTTGAGTCAGGCACAAAAGTTATTTAAACAGAAATTTAATAACAAGTTCAGCGTAATACCCTTTGATTTCATTTTAAAAAGAGGGCATGTGATGTTATTACAGGAGGAAGACAGCTTGATTCATTTGCAATCTTCCAGTATCTTTCTCTAAGAACAAATGCAGCTGCTTTGGGCTGTCGCTGGCGGGTAAATATTCCTTTCTTGTTCCCCAAAACACGTGTGGTCCCTGTAGAGGTTATAAAATAAAGCAAGGATATATAACATGCTCTGATATGCCCTACTTGAACTGTTACAGTGTATGTACTAAATCAGGTTAGGAGGAAGAGACCTATGCACTTTCTTCTCCACACAGTCAAGTACAACGGGGAACTTGGCTGATGTAACTTGTGTCACCTTGGCACAATTAATTGATGTCACAGAGCAATACAGCTGCAATTCAGTGTATTTACAGCTGGTAAATTGATGACACTTAATTTGGGTGTGCCCATTAACTTGAGCAGTATTATATTTACAATAGATATTCCTGCCACTGGTTCCACCTTGAAATTTGATGGTTGGAAAATGTTGATGACTATTTGACTGTCCTGTCCTTTAGTGGTGTCTGTCCTTTTAGCCTATTTTAGTTCTCATAGGAAAGTAGAAAAGAGGATTGCAGCACAGAGAGAGACTGGAACTGCATCTGTGTATGTGAACTTGTCTACATTTTCTCCATCCTCCTGTTTGAAGCTGATACTGCACTGACTGAGCTTTCTACTGCCTGTATTGGTGCTCTCTGGATCATTCTTAGTGGTTTTCTCTGCCTGCAGTCAACACTGACTGTTCACCCCTGAGCTCACTGCAGGTGGCACAAGCAGAAGTGGTTCCTTACCAGGTCCCCTGAGCTGTAATTGTTTAATTTCACTGTGACTGCACTGTAGATTAATGCCCAGTACTTTGTGACTGCACTTCTCATTTATTAATGGTGGATGGAGTGTCACGATAGACAGTTGTCTGCCAGTGTGGCATCTGCTCCTCTGTTGCTAAACCTCTACCAAGTTAATGATGCATTATTTAGGGTGCTCTGTTGCTAAGGTCAGCTGTAGATTAAATAGGAAGTGAGACACATCTTGATAGCTGAATGAGCTCTGAATTGAGGGTGGCCAAGAAACAGGAGCAATCTGGGTCTGCTCACAAGCTTCCCTTGCTCTGCCCTAGTGCACTATCCCGTGTTCTGGGGATCATCTCTGCAGGAGCTCATGCTGGAGAGAGGATGCATTAAGTATAGGCAGGACCTTCCCTCTTCCCTCTTGGCTCTGGTCATGCTGGATTTTGTCACAGGAACCAGCAGTGCTCTGTCTTGGTAAACAGAGGGCCCTTTGTTCTACCCTACAGCCCAGTATTGTTTGTGTGGCATAAACCAGGGAGGATGGAGAGTTGTTTGGAGCACAAATAGAAGCTTACCTTGATTAGTCATGAAATCAGCAAAATTCCATATGAGCTCCCCAATCACATACTCCTTCCTCTTCTTGTCAAAAACAGCGTGGTACTCCTTTAGCATGGCCTTCTGGTACTCCTCACTGAACATGAGGGGTGGATCCTACAGCCAGGGAAAAAAGGTGGCCTTGAGTGCAGGTGACAGTTAATCCCAGCAAAGGCACTTCCCATTACTGGGGACCTGCTTCCTGAAGACAAACTGAGTGGTTGCTTGGTCTTTTCATTGCTGCTGTATTAACAATGGCTGTGGAGTGACAGCTGGCAACTACTGACATTGCAAGGGGCCACACACATAACCTACAAACAGAATTCCAGGTATTCCTAGGGAGAATTCCTAGTGGTCTTTGTCATGGCAGGGACTAGCAGTGCCACCCCCTTCTGTGTGTGACAGCACCACGACATCACCATCCAGTGCTGCATCTTCCAATTCAAGCATTTTCCACAACTGCCAAAGTACAGATTTCAGAGTGCTCAGTGCTCTCAGTCAAAGCTGAGAACTCCTCTTTAGGTAGACTCTAACCTCTGCTAGTGGCAAAGCTCATTGATTTTGGTGGAGCAGGATTACAATCCTGGAGTCTTCCAGGCACTGACAGCTGCTGCATCTCAAAACAAAGGCAGGCTCAGGGCCCATCTCTGCCAATTAAATTGTGCTGCCCTGTAAGAGCAGCAGAGCTGTTTCCACCTGGGACATCTACAACACTTACACTGTGGAGTCCAGGAACCGAGTCTGCTCCGTATTCACTCTGGATAATGGGCTTTTGGTAGGTTTTATACCAGTTCTCAAACTGTGCTGTGAGTTGTAGTGGAATCACTTCCAGATGGCCTGGGTCGTGGTACCAGGAGAAGTAGCTATTTACACAAATCACATCCACATAGGGAGCCTACAAAGAAAACAAGGTGAGAGTGTTTTGTCACAGAGCTCAACGTAGTCAACCTTCTCTCATAAAGCTAAATCCTCCTTTGGGTTCATTTAATGGAATTCAGGTTTATTACTTGTAGAATGAAGTCTTTTTCCCCATTACTCAGGCCCTCCAAACATATCTTTCCCAGGGGAAAAAAAAAAAAAAAGGCAGGATAAATTTAATAAGCTAATAGCATATTAATTTGGCATTTTTCTTACAGCCTTAGGAAGTCACAGCAAAGAGTTAGACAAGATCAGCCCATTTCATCTCAGGTTTGTTAGAAGCTTTTCTTTCCAAGATGTCTCTGGCTTGCAGGTACATTTAGATGTACTTTTTGAGTATTGGAATGTGATAACCAAGTCAGTGGTCAAATATTTTAGCAAGCAGCTAAATTTGTGCATCGATGGTGCAATACTAAGACTGAGCATTCTGCAAGTTCTATGCCATTTCTACCACATGGACAGTATGAAAAAAGGGCACAAAAGCCCACTAAAGATAAAGTGATGTTGTATGTAACTTGTTCAATGTTCTCTTAACATGTTTTGTAATAAAAGAAAAAAAAGTTCTAATATCACATCGGTGTATGAGCTCTGTTCTTTGGCTTTGTTTTCCTGTGCTCAGGGTGGTCAGAGCATCTCACAGGGACAGGATACTGGAGCTGGTGTGCAAGTGCCTGATTCAACAGCAATATCCAAGAGCAGATCCCTGCTGGGCTCCTTCAAAACTGAGGCCATCAGGTGATTTTTTTTTCCTGGGGCGGGCAGGAACAGACCTTGGAGTTACAGACTGGTAACTGCAGAACAGCTTAGAAGCAACACAAAGTGTAACCTGTAGCACAGACATGTGGTAGGTAGTACCAGGTACCTCCAGACTCACCTGCTCCAAGTGTTTGTGCTACAGCAGTGACAAGCATTATAAAGCCACCTTGAAAAATTAAAAATTACACAGGAACTACCCTGGAAACAAATGTATGTGTTTAAATTCCTTGGTTCATGCTATGGCCAAAGGGACAGACATCCAAGAAAAATACCTCTTGGCTATTTATCCAGCTCTAGGGCTTTAATTATGAAGCTGGAAGAGCTTTTTAGATTATCCAACACAAATAGACATCTGCCAAAGAAGATCTACAGCAGTTTAAAGCAGGAATTAAAGCAAAGCTTCCTTCCTTTAGACTTCCACAAGGGTTGTTAGTGTTTTAAAGAGGTTTAAGCTTTGGCTTAATTGCAAGTGAAAATCCTGAGCATTTGTAAACACAATCAATGGGAATAGCAAAGCATGACAATATTAATGGAATCCAGGGGTATAATCCTGCACACAAAGAACTGTTCTCTCTTACAGATACTTTTTTTTCCAGCAGGACTACAACTACAGGACAAGGTGCTTTGTACTAGAAACAAAACCATAAGTTTTCTTCTGCCTTTCACTGTTAAATATCTCCAGTAAATCTGGGGAGGTGGGGGGGGAAGGACTGTAAAGCAAGGGACAAGAAGAGGAAATTTAATGTATGAATTTAAAAAAATAAAAAAGGCTAGAAAATAAAGTAAACTTACACCACGATCAAGGGCGTAATTAGCCTCTGTCACAAAGGTTACTGGTCTGGAGGGATCCAGAGCTTTAGTGTGAGCTATCACTGTCCTGTTAGCAAACAGTAAAACAGAGTTCAACAGCAGCATGGAGAAGCACAGCCCCATTTCCCCAGGCTCTCTGTCCTTCCACCCCGCCTCGAGCTGGTTTTTGATTTAGCAGCCAGTATTTTTAATTAAATAAAGAGATGATCTGTCACATATTGGTTGCTGTCCCACCTGAAGAAGAGCAGAGTGGAAGCACACCAAGCACAGGCACCTGAATTTGTCTGTTGGTGCCAGCAGCTTAGGAGTTGGAGAAGGGACAGCGAGTTTGAGGACAAAACTGCAGAAAGGGTAATGGGAAGTTTGTAAACAGCTCTTGGGGTGTGTTCCTGCAGAAGCATGAGGCCCTATCCCTGTGCCAGAGCAGGCAGAGGTTGGCTGCTTTTGAGGAAACACTGAGTTGAGGGAGATGAGACAGAAGGGGAGGGTCAAGCCCTGCTGCAACCCCAGCGTGGCAGGAGGGTGGTGGATCATTCTGATGAATTAAACTTCACAGTTATCTCTTAAAGCACCTACAGCTACAAGGGATGGTCTGCTACCCCACTGCAGAGCTGCCTCTTGGCTACCCAAAGCTTAAATCTCTTTAAAAATAAAACCAAAGGGTCTGTAGGGACTTGAAGCAGTGGCTTTGAAGTGGGGTGTCACAGTCTCCTGCAGAACAAGTAACTGGCACTGACTGAAGACTTCGTCTTAGAATGAAAAGCCAATTATTTTACAGCTTTGCCATAATTCTCAAAGAATTTACCACTTCCAGTGGTAACAAGGAATATTCTGTTGCCATCAGGTCTGATTTTGCTTTATCCTTAGCTCAAGAAGAGATGCTCAGACCACATGGATTCCTGGTAATTTTGCAGAACCTTACTGGTTCAAAACCAACAGGTTGAGACAGTTGAGCATCGGTTCCACACATGCAGCAGTTACACTTTCAGTTTTCATCTGCACATATGGCTTCAGGGTTCCCAAAAAACGCCTGCCCTCTCTTTAACTGCTTCTCTGTGCCATCCCAAAGGAAGAAGATGCATCATCTGCCAACATTCAGACCTCAGCTCTGTACAAGGAGATGCACTTACTTAAAGTAGAAGCCTGCTGGGGGCAGCTCCGAGGCCGGCTCGTTGGCCACCGACCACATCACAACTGAGGGCCTGTTCTTATCCCTGCGGATCAGCTCCTCCATCACAGCCAGGTGGTGGTGCAAGGACTTGTTCCCAAAGCTCTCGCTTAAAGACAAGAGGTGAGACCCAGTGAGGTGAGGGTGTAAAATCCATCCCCCCTTGCCTTTCCCTGTGAAAACTCTGGGGTGCACAAGCCCAGCTGAGCCTTGACACTGAGTATGGCTCGTGCCCTACTTCCCCAAAGGTCTCTGCACAGTTCAGGGCCGTGGTTTGGGCTCATTAATTGAGCCATGTGGCAAAATGCCCCTGGGTTGCCCAACCCCTCCAGGCACACGTGGCGCAATGGGGTGATTTCTAAATAGAGCAAAGTACTCCCGTTATCGGGACAACAACGGGAGGGGACAGTTCTGAGGTGGCTCAGAGAGGCAGAGAGGAACAAGGGCAGGGTGTGCTGAGCGGTTCCTTACGGCAGTTTGATGCCCACCCCCGGGCACTCATCGATGACCACGATGCCGTAGGCGTCGCACAGGTCCATGATCTCCTCGGCGTAGGGGTAGTGGCTGGTGCGGAACGAGTTTGCCCCCAGCCAGCGCAGCAGGTTGAAGTCCTTCATAATCAGGGCCCAGTCAAGGCCTTTGCCACGGATCTGGGGGGAGAGAGAGATCACTCCCTGTCCCACTGCTGGGCTGGGGCTTCTCCCCACGTGTTAGCCAAGCACCACGGCTTCCCTGCGGGATCCATCTCCAGCACTGCCAGGGGCCGGGAATCCGAGAGCAGCTATCACAGTCAGAGGGGTTTGGGTAGGAAGGAACCTTAAAGACCATCCTATTCCACCCCCTGCCATGGGCAAGGACACCTTCCACTATCCCAGGTTGCTCCAAGCCCCGTTCAACCCAGCCTTGGACACTTCCAGGGCTGGGGCAGCCACAGCTTCTCTTGGCAACCTGTGCCAGGGCCTCACCACCCTCACAGTGACCTGCTCCAGTGCCCCACCACCCCTACTGCTGACTGTATGTCAGCATGTCTGACTGGAAGCCACAGCTGGAGATGGCTTAGTGTCTCCACCAGCACACCCCAGGCCCATCCATGCACCCTGAGGGATGTTGGGACTATGGCAGGACTGGGCATCGCGTCCCCTTAGTGCCGGTAAAAGTTCACCCCTGGCAGCTCCCAGCCTGGGAGAAAGGTGTGAGGAAACAGCCCCTTGGAGGGGAGGGGAGGCAGGCAGGTGAGGTGAGGGGCCCGTGGGTGCCCACACTCACATCTGAATCCTCGTGCTTGTTGACGCCGTGGAAGTAGAAGGGCCTGCCGTTGATGAGGAACTGGGTGCTGGTGACGTGGACGGTGCGGATGCCGACCGGGAGCATGTACACGTCCTCCAGCAACACCCCCTCCACCTGCGCCTGCATTTTCACCTGGATTGCCAAGGAGGAAGGTAAGTGATGTGCTGGGGTTTCACAGGGACGCCCTGTGCTCCCTCCCCTCTGTCTGGGAGAGCTATTTTGACCTCCCGTCTGCTTCCCAGCTGAACTCTTGCAGAGTAGAAAGAAAGCTGACTGCGTGGCAAAGCCTGTGGAAGAGGTTGGCAGCCTGCTCCTCAGAGACTCTGCTCTCAACTTGCAGGGCATCTCCTCCCCTGTATGGTCTCAAATGGGATGGACTGGGCCCTAAAGGTGAAGCACCTCAGAGCACATGTGTGCACTCCAGACATGCCCTTCTCACTGCCAGACCTTTCAGTTCAGCACCCAGGGAGCTGCCAAAGCTTGATTTGATTACTGCCTAATTAGCAATGCCACACTGGTCACATGAACAGGAGCTGTGAGAGAAGAGAAGATGGTCCATACAGCAGTTCCTGAACACAATTAGACAGAGGGAACACACAGAAAGGAAGAAATGCCACTTTACCTCTAAGGAGTAAAGGTATCCAGGGTTCTCATGCATCAGGTAAGGCCACCAAAGATTTGGGTTCAGGACTTTGAGTTCTCCCTCTGGCCCATCTCCTGTAGCAACCACTTTTCCCTCCTGGTCACGTAAACTCAGGGACAAGGAATAGGCTGTGCTGCCAACAACTGACACCTTGTACTGCACCATTGCTGGTTCAAAGGAAACAAAAGACTATCAGAGACTGACACAGCAGGGGGAATACTTGTATCACATGCTGGGGGCTTTTCACATACAACAGCATTAAAAATGAGGGAGATGTAGAACAACAACAGTGGCATGAATCGAGTGTAAGAAGCAGGACCTGCCTGTCTTGTGGTCCAGAATTTTCCAACAAGGTTTGTGTATCACACAACTCTCACTTAGAGATAATCCTGCTCTAAGTGGCAGGAAGACTGCTCCTACTGAGACATTCTACTTTGAGAAACACCTGATCGTCCCTTGACTTTAACTTGCAACAACTTCTTGGTTTTGTTATTGTTTCTGAATGCTTTACCACATTCTTGCAGCTGCTGAGCTGTGCAATAGGCCAGCTCAGGTTCAAGAGAAAGCCACTAGGAAACAAATTCACTCAGGCTTTTGCAGGATATTCTCTATGCTGCCCTTGTCATCTCCATTTGGAGCCTGAGGTAGCTGCTGTAATTGTTCTGGACCTACCAACATGCTCTGATGAAGTAGTTGTCACAGTAATATCATCTATGTAGGCAGAAGGAGTGGTGTAAAGCACAACCGGGCGATGGATTCCAGCATAATTAAAGAAATCAAACCTGGTGTTCTGCACAAAATAGTTCTTGGGATACCTGAGTGAGCAAGACAAGGAGAAATGGCTACATTATGCTTCATTACACAAGAACTGAAGGCAGCATATGGATGCTGGCAATGCAAAATAGTCAAGTAATCACAGCTGCTGGCTGGTAAAATAGTCTTTACAACAGGGTGGATCTGTCTTTCAGTGGTGCTACTGCTGCTACACTAAAGGATTCTGCCAGCTAACAAACATCTAGAGCCCAAAGAGTTTGATCCTTCAGGATAGCAGGTACTTGCAGTTTCCAGCTGAATTCAAGATTCTCAAATGTGCCATTGATTCAGCTTGACAAATCACTTAATCTCAGCTCCCTGTGTATAAAAGAGATGCAATAACTCAGTGCTGATTTCTTGTAGCACCAAAGCTTAAACTCCTCCCTGCTCGACTGCTGAATTTCAGCATAAATACAATCCTGTGCTTTTGTGAGTTGCTTGGAGGGTTTCATGGACCAGCAGCTGAATAAATTCCCACTGCCCCATCCCTGGGATTAGCCCAGCAGTGCAGCACCTTGGCAACTCACCTTGTTTTGTCAGTCATGTACTGGATGGACCCCGGGGGCAGAGTGTGGGGTGTCAGGGTGTTGTTGAGCGCGACAGTGACGCGGCAGAGGGTCCCTGGGCTGCCCTGGACAATGCTGCTGATATCAGCTTCAAAAGGGAGGTGTCCCCCTTCATGCTCCACCACTTGCACCCCGTTGACCCACTGCAAGAGAAGACACCCAAAAAAATGGAGTTATTGGGGTTTTGTGGCAAGCAAAGCGCAGAGAAGGGAAGGAGCCCAGCAAAGGGCAGTCGGGATCCCCAGCAACACTGAACCTTTTTCTGGGCTCTTGATCCTCAAAGGATCAATCCAGAAGCCCTTCCTTTGCCAGGAGGTAGGTCTGGTTTACCTACAAATGTCACTGAGACACAGTTTAGCGAGGAAATATTTAGGAACTAGTCCTGATATTGGAGCAAAGAGAAACTGGAAATCACGGCCAAGTTCTTGGCCGGGGGAAAACAGGCAAGAGCGAAGAAAACAGCAAAGGGATACAAAATCTAGGCAGAGATGCCATGAGCCCAATTCCAGTGCAGCACAATTTTGGGAGCACACGGACAATCTCACGTACCACGATTGAGTAGTAGTGGGCACTCCCAAAACGCAGCACCACCCTGGTGCTGGGGGAGTCCTGCAGCCAGCGGGCAGGGAGCAGCACCTCCTTCTCATACCAGACCCAGCCGATGTAGTTCTCCAGGCTGGGGTCCTGGGTCATGTCGTTGAAGCTGGCGGGCACTGGCATGTCAATCACAGGGCCGGTCTGGCAGGAATTTCATGGAAAGGGAAGGAACAGATCATTTAAAAAGAGAAATTTTACTGCTGGAGGCGTCCCCTACCACGACAGCCTTACAATCCCTTTGCCAAGGGGGAAATAACTTGGGAAAACCTGTTTAGAAACTGGTGTGGTCTGTCACAGGTCCTACACACGTCCTGATTAGCAGCAGGCACGGGAATGTGCCTGTTCCTGCAGGAAACAGCTGCTCATATCTTTTCCCCTCCTGATGTACAATGAAGTGCTTTCGCTAATGGCTCTGGTGTCATGGAATCAGAGAGGTGAGGGGGGGGGAAAAAACCCCACCCAGGTTGTTGTTTTAGCCCAGAGTTTCCCACAGCCCATATTCTTTCCTGCACAGCTCCAGCTGTTGGGTGAGCAATGCAGGGGTTGTAGGGGTGCTGCTTGTCAGGCTAAGAGCTGTAGTAAAAGGGTGGCAAGACTAATGGATATTTTGGGACAGATTCCTCAGGGAAGGTTCGTGGAGACTGTTTGGAATGAGTTCAGCCTTTCTCAGCCCCTGAAAGCAACAGAAATTCAATGGAATCACTTCACTTGCTTGTTTTAAGGTAAGGGTGAGAGGGAGGCAGTGTCACAACACACTGAACATCGAGGCGCTATTGCCAAGCAGAGCTGCTCATTTTTAGCACCTGCTGAGCTCATGATGTTGCACAAACAAGTGCTGCAGCAGCTTCCGCTTTCCTGAGGAAGCCTTTCCATGGAAAGGGGAACAAGGAAGGTGCAGTTGCCCAGGGTGAGCATCATGTGCAGGGCTGACTCAGCACCAGCACTGCAGAGAACTCGGTGCCTTTATCAGACACTAGAAAATCCCAGAGGGAAAATCCTTGGATGGTGAAGCGGATTTTCTAGTATTTGATGCAGGACATCCTTTGACTGGGATGGCCAGAACAAGTGCCTCCTTCTAGGAGATTCTCTGATGTTTAAAGCAGGTTAAGTGTACATGTCTAAGCCTCACTTTGTGGGGGAATAGTTCAGGACTCCTCTCCCCTGGCTGGCACTTTTTGCAATAACTTCCAGCAGCACAGTGTCTTTCAGCTCTTCTCCCCTTCCTCAATTTGGCCAAAAATTTAGCCAAAAATAGTAATTATGAATGAGTTATACACTTTATGCACAGAATACATAACTTCTTTCTTTTAGGTAATGGTCTTAATTTCCTAACAGATTTCAGTTACACTAAAACTTTGCTTATCAGCACTCTGCAACTTCGAAATAAGTAATTCCAGTGCCCTTTCCAGGCATGTTTCTGTTTATTCTGAGCTGCTGACGGGCAGGTCAATGCTGTGCAAGGCCAGCCTGGCTCCTGCAGCACAGGGCAGCTGAAGGTGGCTGGAGTTCATTCAAACAGTTCCTGGCCTCACAGCAGCTGCGGGATCATCAGAAGGATCACCAGAGGCTGCTGCTAATTAGGACCTGCCTTAAGAATAACCTCTGCCCGACCCTAACCGAGCTCAGAGCGGGGGACGAAGGGCAGCGGCTCCGCAAGCCCGGCGGGGAAGGAAGGGAGAAAGGAAGGAAGGAAAGGGGAAAACGGTGCTGTCGGGGCGGGATGAAGCCTGGTTTGGAGGGGTCCTGCACCTCGACCCCCGGGATGTCCCCCCGCTCCGCCGTCCCCGTTACCTGCCGGAGCGGCTGCCGGTACCAGCGCTGCGCGAACCCGGCGTCCCTGCCCGGAGACAAGTCGGCGCGGAAGCTCCAGAGGCCGCCGAGCTCCTTGCGCTCGCGGGAGGGGGTGTCCCGGGGCTGCAGCATCCCGGGCAGCGCCGCCGCCCGCCCCGGGAGCAGCGGCAGCAGCAGGAGCAGCGGGAACAGCCCGGCCACGCTCCCGCCCGGCGCCGCCGCCGCCATCTTGGGTGTGGGCAGAGCCCGGCCGGGGGCGGGGCCAAGGGGCGGGGCCGATCCCGGTCCCGATCCCAGTCCTGATCCCGATCCTGATCCCGATCCCGGTCCCG